GTGTCCCCTCATTTCGCCGTCATCATCTGGACGAATTCTGTCAGGAGAGAAGGGGGGGTCGGTGGGGACAGGTGACACCAGGGTGACACCAGGGTGACAGGGGACTCCGGGGTGTCCCAAGTGGGTGGTGACAAGTGACGAGGTGACGTCTGAGGTGACAGGGAAAGTGGTGTGGCACCGAGGGTTGAGGAATGTCATGGGTGGGTGACAGCGGGACACCCAGAGGGGACACTGACGTGTTGAGGTGACACTGGGACACCCAGGAGGGGACACTGGGGTGCTGGAGTGACAGTGGGACACCCTGGAGGGGACACTGGGGTGTTGAGGTGACACTGGGACACCCAGGAGGGGACACTGGGGTGCTGGAGTGACAGTGGGACACCCTGGAGGGGACACTGGGGTGTTGAGGTGACACTGGGACACCCAGGAGGGGACACTGGGTTGTTGGGGTGACACTGGGACACACAGGAGGGGACACTGGGGGTGCTGGGGTGACAGTGGGACACCCAGGAGGGGACACTGGGGTGACACTGGGACACCTAGGAGGGGATCCCACCAGGGACCTATGGGTGCCAGAGGTGACACTGGGTGCCAGAGGTGACAGCAGGTGACACAACGGTGACAACGCCACCCACCCTTGTAGTTGACCTGCCCGTCGCCATCTGTCCCCATCCCCATTGTGTCCCTGTCCCTACTGTGTCCCTGTCCCATCGTGTCCCTGTCCCCACTGTGTCCCCGTCCCCATCGTGCCCCTGTCCCAGCCATGTCCTTGTCCCCAACATGTCCCCTGTCCTGGCCGTGTCCCTGTCCCCATCCCTACTGTGTCCCCATTGTGTCTCCTTCCCCATGGTGTCCCTGTCCCCATCGTATCCCTGTCCCCACCGTGTCCCTGTCCCAGACATGTCCCCATTCCTACCGTGTCCCTGTCCCAGACATGTCCTTGTCCCCATCGTGTCCCCATCCCTACTCTGTCCCCATTGTGTCCCTGTCCCCATTGTGTCCCCAACCCTCCCGTGTCCCCATCCCCATCGTGTCCCCGTCCCAGCCATGTCCCTGTCCCCATCCTGTCCCCATCCCTACTGTGTCCCCATTTTGTCCCTGTCCCCATTGTATCCCCATCCCTACTGTGTCCCTGTCCCCGTGTCCCTGTCCCCATTGTGTCCCCATCCCTGCTGTGATGCTGACACATGGGTGACAGGTGACACAAAGGTGACAGGGGACACAAGGGTGACAGGGCACACAAGGGTGTCCCAAGTGATGAGGAACATGGTGTGGCACCGAGGGACGAAAAACCCCACGGGTGGGTGCCAGCAGGGACCTATGGGTGCCAGAGGTGCCACCGGGTGCCAGAGGTGACAGCAGGTGACACGGCGGTGACAACGCCACCCACCCTCGTAGTTGACCTGCCCGTCGCCGTCGATGTCGGCCTCGCGGATCATCTCGTCCACCTCCTCGTCCGTCAGCTTCTCCCCGAGGTTGGTCATCACGTGCCGCAGCTCCGCCGCGCTGATGTACCCGTTCCCGTCCTGCCGTTGGGGACAACGGTTGGTGACACACGGTGACATCACCCCCACCGCGTCCCCGTCCCCACGCGGGTCCCCGACCTTATCGAAGACGCGGAAAGCCTCGCGGATCTCTTCCTCGCTGTCCGTGTCCTTCATCTTCCTCGCCATCATGGTGAGGAACTCGGGGAAATCGATGGTGCCGTTGCCTGCGAGGGACGAATAGGTGACAAAAAGGTGACAAAAAGGTGACAAAAAGGGGACAAAAGGGTGGCTCACCGTCGGCGTCCACCTCGTTGATCATGTCCTGGAGCTCGGCCTCGGTGGGGTTCTGGCCCAGGGAGCGCATGACGGTTCCCAGCTCCTTGGTGGTGATGGTGCCGTCACCGTCCTTGTCGAAGAGCGAGAACGCCTCCTTGAACTCTGGGGACCGTCACCGCGGGGGGACAGTGTCACCACGGGGGGACAGTGTCACCCGATGGCACCCGTGTGGGGACGGGAGGGGGCAATGGTGGCACTGGTTACACACCAGGGTTACCCCAACACCCCAGTGTCCCTCTTGGGTGTCCCAGTGTCACCCCAACACCTCAGTGTCCCCTCCACGGTAGCCCAGTGTCACCCCAATACCCCAGTGTCCACCCAGATGTCACCTCAACACCCCAGTGTCCCCTCTTGGGTGTCCCAGTGTCACCCCAACACCTCAGTGTCCCCTCCACGGTAGCCCAGTGTCACCCCAATACCCCAGTGTCCAATGGTGCCTTCACCGTCCTTGTCGAAGAGCGAGAACGCCTCCTTGAACTCTGGGGACCGTCACCGCGGGGGGACAGTGTCACCACGGGGGGACAGTGTCACCCGATGGCACCCGTGTGGGGACGGGAGGGGGCAATGGTGGCACTGGTTACACACCAGGGTTACCCCAACACCCCAGTGTCCCTCTTGGGTGTCCCAGTGACACCTCAACACCCCAGTGTCACCCCCTGGGTGTCCCAGTG